CCTAAGCAGACTGACTCTCGCGTCAGCGCCCACAGCCTGGCCAGCATACATGACCGGTATGACCAGGTTCTCCAGTGTATGAGAGAAAACAAATGCAGTATGGCCTGTGCCTTCCGTCTTGCGAGCTGTCCTCGGAGCACACTCAGAGACTTCGTTGCCATAGCCGAACTTAAGAAGGTGGACTCCAGAGAACTAGACCTCGTCCTCCGTGACCAAGTGGGTTCCGTGCGTGCTCTCGAGGTTGTCTCTGAAAAACGACTCGGCGCTACATCCCAGTGATGAACAACATGAGGAGGGAGGGGCAGCTGTTGCCATTAAAGTTTGATCCGCGCTTCTACGAGTGAAGTATCTGGCATATTTCACCTCACAAAACGGCTCCTTTAGGAGCCACCAACACTATGAAAGTCAATGACCAACAACAAAGTTAAAATAAATAATGAAATACAGTACAGTCCCAATTCCTCAAACCCTCAAATAAAAACAAAAGTAAATGACCGGCAATGAATAAAAAAAATACGTATAAATACCCGTTCAAGACTTGACTCTCAGATAAATTCGAGAGGGACTGGGACATAGTTTACCTTTCCAACATGGCGGAAAGAAAATTCGAAGCTGCAATTGCGTAAATTCTCTGGTTAGTTTCGGCTTCCGTGGCGCTAGTCTTGAGCGGCGATTACCAAAACTAAGAAGAAAAGGCTATTCTTGTCAATGTATTACACATTTTGGATGTTTATGAAGCGAAAACCGAGAGAAAACATTCAAGTTTGTCATAACGTTTCACCAACAAGCTACCGACAGGTTACCGACATCTTACCGACACATTACCAACTGTCGCCCGACTGTTGGTGGGCTGTCGGCCGACTGTAGGCCGACAGGTAGCCTATATTTCGGGCAAAATCTGTTGGCCGTCTGACGGCCGACTGTCGGCCGACTGTTGGTCGACACACGGCCGACAGTCGGCCAACAGTCGGCCGACTGTTGGTCGACAGACGGCCGACAGTTGACCGACAGTCGACCGACAGGTTTTTTGGGGAGGTCTTCTTCACAATTACCGTTATATGTGGTATGTAAAGTATAGATGAATTTCGTTGTTATACGCAAGAGGACTGATTGCCAGGTGTGGATGAAGGATAAATACTGACCGATTGCCTGAATGAGCACCCCGAAGGCGCAAGCTTCTAGCAGGTTCCGGGGAATGCTCTCCTAGGAAATTCTTTTGATTTTAACTCCCAAAAGTCCCCTCTCCTGGGTTCTGAGTTATTCAAACAGGATTTTGGCCCGTTCTATTCACCTCAGATGAAGCCTTGTAACTTGGAAAGATTTTTTCTTTATTAAAAATGTTTATTATGAAAAAGCTGACCGATTTCCGTAAAACAGTGGGTCTGCGTTTCGATTACGTTTCTCTCCTAGCAGTCATTTCAAACTCTCCATGCAAGTACTGGTCCTCATCACAGCACGAATGGTGGAATAATTTAGCTTTTAATGTTTTCTTTTTCTTTCTTTTTTTTTAGGAGATGCCCAGTTCCCCAGACTATCTATGGGAAAAATTCTCCTGTGTATATACCTGTGGAGTGTTTGTGAGCTGTGCACAACTGCCGCTAACAAATTAGGGTTGACTAAAAACACAGTGGGAAATGTATATGCGTTATTGCGGCGTTATTGTGGGCAAGACCTACAGGACAGACCTGTCATTCCATTTGGAAGCCATGTGCACGTTGCAAAATGCGACGTGAGCCAATTTAAGCATAAATCCAAGGTACATAAATTAAGGATCTGTACAATAAGCCACAGATACTAGGCAGCACCCATCTTACAAGCAGTAATTCGTGTCACTGTGTCAAACGACTATCAAAAGGCACATGAAATGAAATCAGCGACTGATCACACAGAAATTAGTAAAGGTGTTCGACTAATATCGATCGAGTTTACATTACAATTTTTTTTCACCGAGCACGTCTGCCTAAAAATAATAGCCTCTATTACACAACTGGAGATATGGGCAAATTAATCTGGATTTGAAATCAACACATGGCGAAGCATGTATGCATTATGTTTCTGTTGTGAGTGAGAATAAGACTGCTGTTCATGTATGTGCGCATGTATGTATGTATGTATGCATGTAAAGACAGATTGTTTCATAATAAGGAAAGACACATAGTTATGTAACAATAAGATACAATCTATAGACTACACACGCAAAGTGCCAAAGTAATATTGGCAGCAAAATTTATGAGAGTTAATTGATCCTTTTCAGTACCACTGCGGACGAAGGGCCAGAGATGACGTCTGGGTATTCGGTTTTATTTCCACCGAGCATAGCCCTTGTCCGGGCTATTTCCAGATAGTGCCGTGGTGTGACAGGGCAACACTTACCCCGATACTCAGCAGAGTGCTTCTCCCTGGATCGGAAGTTCATACCAATGACTGGGCCGCCTACAGAAACTTACCAGCTCATGTTCCTAATGTTTCAGTGCATAGATCTGTCATGAAAATTTTATAGCGATCGAACAAGGAAAAAACCACTTTTAAGGCAATTGAAAAATATCGGTATGGCCTCTGAAAAACTGTATTGGATGCACTCATTGCAGAGAAAACTAGACTAATGGCTTCATGAAACCGCTATTTTCCTGTAACTCAGTAACGTCAAATGCTAGAACCAAAACCCTCGGGAACCAAATACGACTTCATTCAAGGCAAAAAATTTAGATGCTGCTTCAGCACAAATTGAAACCAAAAGCTCCTCAAGACACTGAAAAACTGAAACCGCTCTTTCAGTTTTCAAAGAAAACGTATTCTTCCCACCTCAAGCCATATGGCAAATATGAAAATAGAAGAAAAGTAGAAAATAGAAGACTGGGATTGATTGTGACGTCATTTCAGGTCATTTTGTATAGGTTCTATCAAGCAATTAAAAAAGTTTCTTGAATATATACGCCTCTGAGCTAGTATGTCGTCAGCTTATCGGCATTGGAGTGTTGGTAAGAAAAGATTGTTTTAACTTAAAATTGATGTAACTGGAAAAAAAGGGTCCTTTGAAAATGTCGGCGATTGACAGATGAAATTGGAATTACCAGAGGAGGGCTCTAGGGGGTTAAGGAAGGGATCAAACAGGAAAAAGAATTTAGGAGAGCGAATCGAGTTGAGCAGTGAACTGGGGAAGAGGAAAAGGCAGCAGAGCCTCCGCAACCCTTTCCCAGGCCTGACCCCTGGAGACCCTTTCCCCTCTTCAGACTCGGCTTCCTTTGCGCGCTCATATTTTTTCTTTTTTTTGGTTGACAAAGCAGACTTTTAATTTTTCCCCCAATGGGGAGCCTGGTCCCAGCCCAAGAGCTCATATAGCCGAGATTGATCATTAAAACGTTTTTATAAAACTTACGCTTTTTTTAAGAAGAGGAAGGAAAACAGGTTCACAGCCTCTTAGTGCGGCTATGTAAAATCAATAACAAAAAAAGAGCTTGAGAATGCTTTTGTACTAGTGAGTAAGAGTAATTCGTACTATTAATTGATCTCTCAAGGTATCTTCTCCCACCTCACACACTTCAATGCCCAGCTTAAGTGTAGAAATCCACCGTCAAGGGATGTGGAGAAACAGTCAGGAGAAAAGACAGGCAAATGCACCAGGAAGAAAATATGTCCCTCCATTACAGCCTCCTTAAAGAGGAAAACGGATGTATTCTTTGGAGTGCTAGCAAAATGGTGAGTTTGCCCGAAATGTCCATTTCTAAAAATCATCGCTATGCACCTATGAAGAATTTTATGGAAAGGAGACATTTCAACGAAACCTCTTAACAGAGTCTCTAGAGTGAAATTATAGAATCTGTAACCAGAAAGGTTTTCCTACAATTACACCTTGGAAAATCCTAGAGCTACACTTAAGTTTTTACGTGCTTTTATCTAAAAACAAGCATAACAATCTTCCTGCTGATATGGTATTTTATTCAAGAAAAATGTTGTTAACGCCTTCCTGTGGTACTTTTTTTCACAGCAGTGGCTTCATGTTCAGATACGAAGAACAGCTGAGGCAGGAGCATACAGATGGAGCATCCCAAACTGCTACGGCGACATCTGTTCGCCAAGCTTTGATGTAGGGCCGTAAATGGCAACTGTTTTGCCTAAAACGAGGAGGCAGCATCCAGTACAGCCTTGAAAATGAAGAGGGAGACAGGCCTATCCACTTGTCAGTGACGTACGTTTGCATACAGCAAATTCTTAAAGGGACACGCCGTCATGTTTGTCTCTGTTAACTATTAATAGCAAACAAAAGCCGCCCTTTAACTCGACACAAGAATATGCCCTATCCCTGAAATGTATATTATATTCTGTAAACATTAAGTGGTGCAGTGGGTGCTGGGGGATAAGGGGAGGAGGGGGTGGGGACATCTGTGTTGCGACCTTTTCAAACTTTTCTTTGCAGTTTCATCTTCGAGAGCAGCAGTGGAGGTAAAGAAGTTTATAACATACCCGTTTTGGAGTTCAAGACAGGGAAGATGACCCAGCAAACAAAGTTAGGCAACATGCCTCAAACATAACGGTCAATGTGGAATTGCTGGAGCCGAGCTTTACTTAAGATTCCTAACTTCTCAAGTAGAGACCTGGGTCTAAACAGACTTCTCACAATTTTTAAATATTTCACTGATGTAAGGTAGTTTCAAGGCCGATCATAACCTAGAAGTCTTTCCATTTCATGTTTACTTAGAAATTGTTTTAACTTCATCACGGGACCAGCCATGTCCTGTTTCATCAAAAAATCCTTTGAGTCAGTATTCCCTACGGAGCAAACTGGTTTCCTTTTGCAGGTCTATCAAAAAAGTGGAAATAAACGTCTATCCCCTAACGGAAATTTTATGAAAAGGGCGAGAATGACTCTAGTCAACGAAAACCAATTACCAGTTATAAAGCTTGTAACCATTCTGAGCTAATTTCATAGACCCCCCTTTTCCCCTAATTATTTTTCACTGATAAATTTTAATTCATTGTATTAATCAACCACAAATGTAAATCTTGGAAGTTCGATTTGATTCGGATCATCGGCTGCATGACCTCCAACTTTCTTTTACTTGAGTTTTTCCACTTTATAGTCTAGTCCCTTTGGAAAATACATACCATCTTCTTTTCTAAATTAAATAAACCCTCCCCCCCCGTCTCTATCAAGCCCCTCCTCATATGAATTTCAAAGAAATAAGCTCCCAGGGGGCTTAATCGAGGATTTGCGGTATTAAGCTAACTGTTTCGCATTTTGCATAGGTTTTGCTTGGTTTTGACCCCTAGAGGGTTGGAACTTTGCCTCGACGCAAAGTGGGTGGATGACGACAGAGCTTACTCGTATACATTTCTTATTTTGGCCATAAAGCTTCCAGGAATGTGTGCGAGATCAAAGTATTGCGTTCTGGTCTTGCCTAAAATGTGCAACAGTTAAACAAGCGAACAACAAAATAATAAATGTACATTTCAGGCACATTGCTCGCTGGGCGTAGTTATTAGACAACAGCAGTGCAATTGCGTTCTTTGAACTCCTTTGCGATAATTAATTCAAACTTACTCAGTTCCTCGCGAAAAGGGCAGATACTACTAGGGGGTGCAGTCATAGTGAACAAGACAGGAAAAGACAGTTCTTCCTATTCGTGTAATGTCAAGAATCAAAGAGAATTTATTTGATTTTTCGGTTATTATTGTAAGTATCAATACATTTAACAGATTTCAACAGTTATAACAGCCTTTGGTTTTCGTCTGTATTGAGCACTGAGTGTAAAAGTGCCATTTTATACGTCTCTATATCTTTTAAACTTTTTAAATAGTGATAAGATAGTCAGTGTTTAGTTTTCATCCATATGTATTTTTCGGAGTGGTAAAAGTGGGTATTTTGAAAGGGGTAATAAAACAGTCATAATTAGAAGTCACATTGTCAAGGGGACGTAATTATTCAAAGTGTCTTAATACAACGATAAATATAATTCTATTTAAACATTGACTTAAGACCCAGTCTTAGTTATCCTATTGACTCCATTAAACTTAATAACTTTAGCTCCTAAATCATCCTATTTAAATAGACTTACAATCGAACCAAACCCAAACTGAACGAAATCTTAAATCGATTTAACTAAATAGATTTAATCAAGTCTCAAGTCTTAAATCGACTTACGTAAGCTTAATTTTACTAAATAAATCTTAAAAGTCTTAAATCGTTTTTAACTAAATAGATTCAACGACTAAGTCTTAAATCGATTTAACTAAATAAGTCTTAAATCAATCTAAGCTTAAACTGATTATTTTTACCACAACTAAAGTCTTAAATCGATTTAAGCTTAAAGTGATTTAACTGTCAATAAGTCTTAAAGTCTTAAATCGATTTAAATTAATAGATGGCTAGATCTTAAGTCGATTTAAGCTTAAATCGATTAACTAAATAATTAACAAACTTAACTTTAAAACGACTTATTTTAATTTAAAGTTATGTATTTTCATTAAAAAATTACAAAAAGTGCCTCTTTTTCATTATGCCAGCCGCTGATAAACATTTTATCTTGTTATATAAATTTATGTAGTACTCTTTGGCCAAGAACAGCACTGATATTTGTGCATGCAGTACCACAACACTGTCCACATGCGGGAGATAGGATGCTTTTTGTTTTCAAGGATGAGCTCATATTTTATTATTATAGAGACCAGGGTAAGATAAGTTAACAATCATGATAACAGACAGATTATTATAGGTGGGTTCCTCATTTTTACAGCTATCCTCGGAAGAGGTAATAGAAGTTAGGAGCTGCCTGGCAGCCATTGTGATTGAAGAGAGGAGAAAGGAAATTTGAGAGTGTCTGCCATATCATAAGTTTAAAAACGAATGGAAGTTCTGTCTTCTAACCAACCAAATCTGACCTTAGTATATGTTCTATCACTGATATTATTTGAGATTTTATTCCACCCTTTACTGCTGCCAATTATTACTTTCAATATGAAGGTGTCCAACAAGAAAGCTCTTGCTACTTTGAACACCGTACACAAATGAACTTAGTATCTTTTAGTTAATTATTATTTGTAGCTACTTTATTTTCCTACTATGTACACTTTTGTAAATATCTTGTATAGTGTGAATAAAGAATTGAATTGAATTGAATTAAACAAAAAGCAAAATAAATTAAAAATACAGTAATAGCGGCTAAGTGGATAGCTGCCCACACTGCAACTAATGGCAGGGCACCTCGACCGTTTTTTTTAATTTTGTGCTTGTTAATTTCTACTACGCCTATTTCCTTTAAAAGAAGATTAGGGAAATCAATGACTTGAGGCAGCAGCTGAATGCAACTGATCGCATGAGGTCTCTTGTGGAGAATCGGGTGTGTGTGCTTGAATGGATCCAGAATTTAGGTCCATTCCAGCAAGTGGAAGAGGAAATGAAACAAAGACGAACTCAGCTCTACTATAAACATATTCGGAAGATGTCTCAAAATGACCACCCCGTTAACTTCCTCTAGCTGAGAACAGCAACTAGTGATCATAATT